AATGCATGGTTCGATTTCAATGATTCTTATGTCAATTAATTTTTCTTAGTATTTGTCATCAGACATGACAGTAATTAAAATTCAATATGGTGACAACCAGACACTATATTGCGGAAAAGAAAACAAAAAATTGACAAATATGACAAATGAAGTATCATTGAATTGGTTTTTTAAAATGACCATCAGGTTTTGACAATCATTTTGAATGACTATTTAGGATCTAGAGTTAAAATCTGTTATAAGGACATCGAAGGGACTACTCATATTTAGCTATAAAAACTGATAGTTGTAACAAACATTGATGTTTTCTACATTCAATTTCCTGCCGATGATGCCATGCCGAGCCCGGAAACGTTGAATCCAACTAGACAAGCAAACCAAATCATCACCAAAAGTTGAGCAAAATCATTTACTTTTTGTTAAAAGAATTGGTCCATTTATTGGCTCAGTATTTGTCCTTTGATATTTAAACCACTTTAACAAAGCTTCCTCAATATTTGTATGCTTCTTGTTCTGATTAATTATATTTTCAAAAAATTTTTGTCATAAGGGATGGAATTTTTTCCCCCTTTTTCTAAATAGATGAGATTGTCGAGTATGATACACCAAGTTCTTTTGCTAAGTCTTTGTTTGGAATTCTACTCTCTAGCTTTGAAGTAATATGCGATTTTTTCATATTAATTTCTTTTCTTTTTATTTGCGACATGTTAAAAGTTTCGCAATAAACTTAACAATATGTTTTGGTGCATATTGTGTACAGATAAATAACATATTGGCTAAAGAGATATGAAGAAGCGAGCCTTGACTCTATGGCATGCACGTGTTTTGTTTCCAAGAATTACAAAACACCCTAAAACATCATAAAAGTTAACATAACATGGTGGTGAGTGTGTTATGTTTACTTTTATGATAATAGCCATCGACCATTATACTGTGTCTATTCAAATCGTTTACAATACAACTAAACTGGTCATTCTAAAGATATAGTTCTTCAAAAACATTAGTCAAATGTGGTCACTTAATGTCCTATGTTGTAGTAAGCAATGTCGTAAAAAGTAATGTTTTTGATAAGGCAGCCGAGATCTTTGATTTATAAGCGGTATGTTGTTCTAAACGATGTCGCAATAAACAGTTTAACTGTATAGTGATTTAAAGTTGGTTACCAACCATTCTTATTTCAATTTATAAAACTTATAATAAAGCTGTGTTAAAGTTCATATATATATAATAGGACTTATCAATGTGAAAAATGATTTTTATAGTACATTTCATATAATTCCTAAGATCAAATGACAACTGCACAATATTACTGTTTTCAAAGATAATTTATGACCATTGCCTGAAGTATTACTTTAACAAAAATAAATTAATAAAAAAACAGATATAATATTAATAAGTAATTGATAGTAATATATTGATAAAAGAAATTTATTATGATTATTACGAGACACATCATTGACAACACTAATGACAAGCAAGAAATTTTAAAATATTGTTAAAACAGAACTAAAAAAGTTCATATATATATAATGTGGGGCTTGTCAGCACTATAGCATCTACAATCTTTAGAGATCTTAATGACACTCACCATACATGTTCTATGGACGATTACAAAGGTCGAGTTCAAATTTAAGCCAAACCAGTCAACTAGTTTAGTCTAAACAGCATTTCAAAATTTTAAAAATCAGAAAATTACATATTTCACATAAATTACATGTGAAAATAAAATAGAATCTACTTTCATTTCATCTGCCGAATGGCCTACCTTTCTTTTTGCAGAAACATTACTTTTAAACTCAATGCACTGAAGCATTCCTTGAACATTATTATTATATGGAAGAGGAAAGGTCAAAATATACATTGATGAGCATGAAAAAACATAATCATCATGTAACTTACATTATTTACTAATTTACGCTTTTTAGAAGATCCAATGATGGGCATGTCAGAGTCTTCACGGTGAAAAAATTTGTTATGGTAAAGAACTGCTCCAGCATTATAAAAATCAACCTGACAATAGTCACAATGGAAAGTCTCCTCACTTTTAGTTCCTGCACTGTGACTTGTTAAATGCTTGTTGTATAAATGCTGAAATATCCAATAAACATAAAAATATTAACCTTGAAAGTACATAACAAGAAATATCATAGATAATTTGGATTGAATAAAGTTTGCATATTACAAGTGCAGCTAGAGTTTGGTGTTATCATTTTGTGATAAGGTTAAATAACAAATTATCACAATTTTTGTGAATGACAACTCAATAGTGTTAGGGCATAGTCCATCAAACTAACCTTCATAGTAAACAGTTTTCCGCACCAAGGGCAAAAATACTTCGCGTCGTGATCTGGATGCGCCTTATGCTTGTGAGTGATTGCTTTGGATATTGTCAGAAAAGTTTCCGTGCATACATCGCAACTTACCATCTCAGTGGTTTCGGATTTTTGCTTATTATTATTTGCAACACTTCTTAAAGCTTCATCGTGAGATTGTTTTTTTGCTGTTATAAGATTGTGAAGGTTTGGATCTCCATGTTGTCTATAATGAATAATAATTTTTATGATTCTCTATTCTATTATATATGTCAAAATGATAGTAAACAAGGCATTTCGGAGCCTACCTGAAATGTATCTGATAAGTCTCTTTGTCGTCGAACGAGTCTTTGCAGAATATACAAGTGTAATTCTGTGTTGTTGACATTTTTAATAAACGACACTATTATTAATTCATTAGTTGTCCACATTCCACATTAAAACAATGTAAAACGTTTCCAAATGTGCAACGTTTGTAATTAATACTTAGTACACACCACTAAATAACACACCACAGTAGAACAATAATTCATTACATTGTCTTTAATTTTTAGATATTAACAATCATAATAATTAACATCCATAGATATTATTACAGAAAATCCAGAATTTTACGCTATGAGTATAGTCATGCACAAGCAAGCTATCATCCATTTTTTTTTTATTTTAGGGCGAGTTCACACTGATCTGAATTTAGATCCGAATGAGAAATAGAAGAGTAAGATTTTTGTCTTAATAATTGATTTTGCTGTAAAGAAATCATCATACTTATTACGCTATTTAGAAAATGTTTTTGTTACTAAAACCAAATTAGACGATTAAATGATAAGTAAACATTGATATATGTATCACGGATGCGTTCTCTAGTAAAAATGTGATTTCTTAAAAATATATCCGACGAATACAATAACCTATGGATCTAAAATACTTATACCTAAAAGTAATTTTTTAAATATAAAGATCTGAATTTGAAGATCTAAAATATTTATAAAATAACTTGAACAGCCGCGACTACTACACTCCCAAACCATTACGCCCCAAGAGTGACAAATCCTCGACTACTACTAAGTCCTCGATTCTACAGTCGATTCCTCATCATACTCTTCAAAGTCAATTGATAGCCATTACTCACATACGCACGCCTTCACATTTGTATTCTTATCTTATTTTACACTGTGTAAATGAACGATTTTATCGCAGCGATTCAACGTTACCGTATCTGTCTCAAATATAATATGTCGATGATAAAGTTGTGATTCTACAATTTTAGAACTAAAATAATATTTTATAATAATATTCATAAGCTTTATTTGTATCAAAGCTTTTAGTTCGTATTATGAATTGTAAGCTAATGTACTTATATGCATATTATGAATTGTGAGCTTCAACCATGAACGTAAATAATAGACATCCAATATATTGCTAGGTAACGATTAGCATCCTCTAAAATAAGTCTCATAAGCATGGTAACTCTATTAGCTATTAACGTGCGTACCGACTGTTATTACGCTGTCAATTGATGATGTATGAAATATTTTCTTATTCTTTCTCCTGTATTTAATTTAAGAAGTCAGTGATAGTTATTCAAAGTTTAATTCTAAAAATAATACATTATCAAAAAAGTTAGATATTTTTTTTTATATCAGTGGAGGCGTTAGGCATTGGTGACGTCGGCGACCACCGACGGCCTCTCGCTAAAAGGAATTGCAAAAAAAATTATGATTACATTGTATTATACATAGTATTTTTTTTTTATTGGGACAGTGTGGGTATATATTAAACCGTAAGAGATAAGAGAAAACTATATTTAGAAACTTTATTGATAAAATGTATATTTATTTTTTAGGTTAAGTGCGATCTTTACCAGATTCGACGTTAAATTCATGAAAATTTTTTATTAGACTAATCAACTTCTTTTTTTTTATCGGGAACAAATCATTCTAATGAACCAAAAAATCCAAACACGAGAATTCAGTTACATTTAAAAAAATGGATGTGTGTGCTTATGTACGCGCATGAGAAGTTATATTTCTTTGGCATCATTAAAAAAATAGTTTTGAATTGAATGCAAAATAATTAATTATAATGATTATTAATTAATAAATAATTAATTATAATGATTATTAATTAATAAATAACTAATTATAATGATTATTAATTTATAAATAATTAATTATAATGATTATTAATTAATAAATAATTAATTATAATGATTATTAATTAATAAATAATTAATTACATTTATTAATAAATAATTAATTACATTTATTAATCTAATAATAAATTTAAAAATTAAATTTAAGTTTATTCATTTTATAAATATTTATTATTCACTTTGTTTAATATTCACTTTTCATTTTCTCAATAAATTTTCATTAAATTTGTTTATTTCTTTTTATAAATATTTATTATTTATTCAATTTAATAATAAATATGAAAAATTAATATTTTAATTTCATGTTTGATTTTAATTTTTATAACAATTTTTTCATTAAATGTTTTATTAAGTTTATTTCTCTATTTAGTAAATATTAAATAACCAATAATAAATATTTAAAATTAAAAAAATAATAATATTTGGTATTAATTGCATTAAATAATTATATTGTAATTTATATCAATAAATAATACATACGGAAAGTATAAAAGCACAATTTTTTTCACTAATATTTACGAATAGTAAAAACTTGGCCCATGAGGGGATCGAACCCGTGACCTTCGCGTTATTGGCACGACGTTCTAAACCAACTGAGCTAATGGGTCATTGAGATGTACGAAAAACCTGTTAATTTTGTGTTACACTGATGCGCGCGCATCTTAAAATTTCACTCTCATCATTTTTTCATAATACGCCTAAAGAAGTATAACTTCAAAAACTGTTCTTATGTTACCTAAGTAAGTAAGCACAGTAATTTAGTAAATTTTATGAAAATAAAAATCGACATAGTGTATTCATACTTAGAATTTTATTTTAGATTATATTAGGAAAATTTCAAGACTATTTCTCGCAGTCCGGTCACTAAAGGCGATTGCATAATAATATTACAATAAATGTTCCAAGTTACTCTCTTTTTCCCAAATATACAGTCGAGCATGTTTTCGTTAACCACGCGTTACTTTTCGCAGCGACAGGTGATGATTATTATGCAGAATATTTAAGACACTACTTTTTAATTCTTCTAATGTGTTGTATCTACTTTTGTACACTTCATTTTTTAAACAGACTAAAAAAAAAATCTGTGGGATTATATCTAGAGTTCGTGGCAGCCATTTTGTGGAGTCATGCATGCCTATCCATTTTCGGAAAAATGATTGCTTAATAAATCTTTAATTACTAAGCTATTGTGTGCCGTAGTTCTGTCTAATTGAAAATAAATTTTTCGACGTTCTTCCAACGGAAAGTTGTCAAGTTTTTCAAGCACTTGTAACATTATTTCTTGAAGTTTTTCTATGTTTAGCGTACCTTTATATAAATAAATAGCAAAAATTCTATTGTCTAATATGGCACACCAACAGGAATGAGAATCGTACTTGATTATGAGACTCCGTCGTTTTCAAAAGAATGGTTTATGACCAGTAGTGGTTATTTTTGCGATTGCACATTCCATTATTCGAAAAATGACTTTCATGATTCCATATGATTGATTGCAAAAAATTTCGATCAACAGTCGCTCGTCGTACAAACCAACGACAAAATTGTAGTCTGCGTTTTTGGTCCCCAGAAACTAAAGCCTACAAGCCTACAATTTTCCCTTCTACATAAGATTAGTAATTATGTCGTTTATTTTTCTTACTATTGACTTGTAAATTCCTATATTATTTGAAGCTTCATATAAAGAAGCGTTTGGATAAACCTGAAAATATCCTAACACACCAATTACGGTAAATTCTTTTGTAGCTGTTGTAGATTTTTTTTGTTTGGAGTCAAAGCAACTGTTTTGATGTAGATTATGAATTAAACTTTAAAATGTTTTGTGATTGGACACTTCACGTCGTGGATATTTTAAATGGTACCATTTGAGAGCATTTGTAGTGTTCCGGTAATTAATAAAATACGCTACAATTAAATGAACTTTTTCTGGATTAGATAACATGGCGAATTTAAAGGAAACTAATCTCATACGAAAATAGTGATTTTTTTTTTATTATTCCAAGTAAACGGAAAAACAGGCAGTAAGCGTAAGTAAAAAAAATTGTAATTTTGCCCTTAGTGTTTATATTTTTCATTTAAACATTAAGGCAAAATAATTACCAGCCAGTATTTTTATATCAACTGATTTCTGAATGTATGACAACAGTTTTTTTCCAAATTTAACTTCCTGTGTTTCGATTTTTTTGGTTCAATAGAATGATTTGTTCCCGATAAAAAAAGGAATCAGTTGGTGTAACAAAAAATAATTACGAATTTAACGACGTATCTGGTAAAGATTGCATTTAATCAAAAAATTATTATTCAGATTTCATTTTTGTCCAAAAAGAGTTAAAGTTTATAAGTACAGTTTTCTCTTATCTCTTACGGATTAATATATGCCCATACTGTACCATAAAAAAAAACACCGTATATATTTTATTTAATAACTAATATTAATATAAATTATCTTTTACTTCATTTAGTTATGTTAATTAGTTAATTTCATACAACTTCGTTTAATACAATAAAAAACTCTAAACTAGTTCAGTAGTCTCATTTTGTGTGATACTGTTTGTAGGATTGTCCAAAATTTAAAATATAATTCGTAAACGTAATCCGTAAGATTTCACAATTTGCACATTCGTTATTTAGCAAATCTTACGGATTACGATTACGGAATACGTTTTCGCTCTTGGTACAACCCGATGTTAATCTTTATCAATTTTTCATTTTGTAAGACAAGAAATAATGCTTACTGGTTAATAATTGAATCAAAATTATCTTCTTTAGCATTATTGGCGTTGGAAACGGACGATAGGAAAATTCTTTAACTGCTCACAAGAATAATTTGTATAGATATTCCCAGCGCTGTGTATTTCACATATTCCATATACCTCAGTTAACCTGGCAGATTCAAATTTCGGTTCATGTCCGGTAATCAGATTCGTAAACTTGTAAACTTGTTGATCAACAAGCATGAAGCTTGAAAAAACGTCTGCCTAATTAAATTATGATTTGCAAACATTTTTGGGAAATTTAATTAATCCAACATCTGCCAAAAAAAAAAATAACACCTCTTGGTGTTTGAACTTAGACGTTAATTATTTTTTACTGTCTTTACTGTCCTTTGAAATTATTCTAATTGAGACTTATTAGTATGTAATACCAAAATGTATGTTTTCTAAGCAAAGGCTAGGCTATTATTGATTATGTTGCTATTATCTTACATTAGTATTTTGTTTTTCAGTTACATAATGGCATTAACCTCAGTATTGTATCATTCAAGGCGTTTATATTCGGATTCTGTGAAATCAGTAACTGCGAGAAAATATGTACTTAAGAAGCATTTCCAAGGGGAACCAAAAATAAATGATTTTGATATTATTGAAGAAAAACTTCCAGAGCTTAAAGATGGTGGTAAATAAAAAAAAAGTTACATCATTGATGGCAACTATATTTTAAATTTATTTACGCGTATTGTTTGAATAGTTTTGTTTTTGTTACTTATAAAATATATTAATAATTATTTTATTAAAACTAAAATTGTTATTTGCAGAAATTCTTACTCAAGCCGAGTATCTCAGTGTCGATCCATATATGCGAGCATATATGATTAGATATAAATTGCCCACGGATATGATAGGAGGGCAAGTTGCAAGGTGATTTTCAATTTTATTTTCAATTATGAATGTATAATAATGACATTTAAATAAAGATCTTTTATTAGGAAAAACTACTTGATATTAAAATTACCCTTTTTTTTCTAGAATTATTTCAAGTCGTAATTCTAAATATCCAGTAGGAAAATATGTGACTGGGTCATTTGGATGGAGAACACATACAATCGTGGATCCAAACAAACCTCAGAAAAGTTCTCTGTTACCTTTAGCGCTGTTACCTGATATAAAGCCCTACCCTGTTTCATTGGCATTGGGTGTATTAGGAATGCCTGGGTGAGTTTTAATCACAGATGTATAAAAAAGACAAGATGCACAGTCGCTTACTATTTTAACGTCAAAAAATGGCTCAAAGTGTACGTGATATGTCTGCCTCACATTTTGCTATACCATTTTGCAATGACAAAGAAAAAAAAGGGAAGGAATATTATTTATTTATCATATGACATTTCATCTTAAATGTCATTACATAAGGTTCATTTTTAAGTGCAAAAAGAACAAATAACTATCATTTTATTACTGGAAGACAATAAGTCCTATTCTTCTACAATTTACACGTGCTATTCTAAAGAAAATCAGTGGAGTGGTTTATTATTATTTTAAATATTTATTACTTGTTATTGGTTGAATGTTTGAACAAATCATTTTATTTTTCTTCATAATAAAGTTTAATGCAGTAATCACCTAACATTTAAGTACCTTTAATTTTATAATGTCAGTGAAAATGAAAAAACTTAATAATTTTTAAGGTTTGTAGAGTATAGTAAGATAAAACTTTTTTATCATTTATAATAATATAAACTCAGTCTATTGCTCAGAAGATAGGCAAAAACTGTAGATTATAGAAGGGGAGCCCACGATGCTAAATCGGGATTTACTCGACCGTCATAGACACCTACTGGTTGCGAAGTTTAGATGATAAAAAGGAAAAAATGTCATATAGTACATATCTTTTCATCGGTGGGGGAAGCGGTTATAAATTTTCAAAAATGAAAAAAAAAACTGTTGCATGGATATACTCAAGCGCATCATATATTGATAGCGTCCATGTCCTACGTATTTATAAAAATGTAAATATATGGTTGTTTCCATGGTGGGGGTGGTCGTACGAAAGGGTTGAAAATGAAAAAAAATAAAATTTATCGAGCTTCAGATTTTCTAAGGGGATATTATGTGAACCTAAAAAAACCTCTTATGTACTAATCTGACGATTTGGATGTGACGCAATCTCGCGGCCATTATTAGAATATGCAAAAAAATGTAACAACGCAAGAGAAACGAGGCCGGTGTTGCTTAGGTCTATTTCTTTTAAGTTTTATAATTTCTTTTAAGGTTTATATCTTGGTTTTTGGTGTTACTTTAAATGAATAAATATTCGAATCGTACATCAAATACTCTTTATAATACATGATTGAGCACTAAATAAATTCAGCTTATCGAAAATAAGGAATACCATCCTTTTTTACCGCTTATTACGTGTTACTTTTGCGTTCTTTAACAGAATACTTCGACATTGTAACGGAAGGTGCGACAAAACTACACTGAAGGCAATGAGTGCTAAACTCTATGTATTAGCATTCATTTACTGCGGCCGTTTTTGAGCGCGGGACTGTACATCTTCTCTTTTTTATAGATCAATGGTTTTAATATTTGATTTACTCTATTTTGGTGCATATAATATTATTTGAGTATTGGGTGGTTCATATTATACTGTAAACCTTTTTATTTTAACAGAAATACTGCTTATTTCGGTTTCACTGAACTGTGTAAGCCGAAACCTGGAGAAACAGTTGTCATAACAGGTGCTGCAGGTGCAGTTGGATTTCATGTTGGACAAATTGCCAAAATTTTAGGTTATCTGACTATTTTTTTTCACTGCTATTTTTTCAGTACTAATTATATATAATTTAAATTCAATTGCAATGATTTTTTACATTTTTTTAGGATGTCGGGTT